TTTTTTTTTTTTTTTTTTTTTTGAGACAGGGTCTCTCTGTAGCCACAGCTGCCCTGGAACTCTCTAATGTAGACAAGACTGGCCTCCATCTCACAGAGATCCACCTGCCTTGGCAGTGCCAGGACTAAAGGTATGTGCTACCACACATGGCTTTAAGCTTTGGTTATTAACTGAGAGATAAATTCTCTTTAAATAAGGTATTTCCTACCATTTAGTAATCACTTGTGCACTAGGCATTTTTCTAAGGGGTTTACCTGTTTTAACACAAATTTCACAAAAGTCTGTGAGGTAGGTAATAGTGTCCCTATTTTTTTAAATGTTTTTTTATTATTCTGATGTACAGAGAGGGTTATCTGTCTATGGTCTCACAGGGAAAAGGTAAGCAGCTGACATGAGGATATGAATGTAGATGGTTTGACTCAGCCCTGGCTCTCAAATTTCTTTGAGGACTGATCAGGAACTTTGAGTGTCATTCAGAAGACAGATCCATTCTTTTTCTAGTTCCTTTCCTTAATTCACAGATATAAAATATTCACCACATGCACACATGGTCCAGGACTGATCAGTCTTCACCAGTGACAAACTACCTCCAGTAATGCAGATGGAGGGAAAGGTAAAGAATTTGGAGTGAGAAGCCTTGGACTCAAGTCTAGTTTTGCTGATTGCTAACAGTATTCTCCAAGTTGTTCAACCACCCTTCACTGCCCTTCACTACTTAGAGTGCAATTCCCCCAAAATGGAGCACAATCACCAAATTGCCTTTCTAGGTAGATGAAAAGTTCAGGGTACACGTAGGCTCTGAACCAAGACTTCCAGAGCCCAGAAGACACAAGGAGACAGTAAGAGGAGAAAGTGAAAGGTAAAATGGTATAAGAAATGTACACTTAGGGAGAAAAAGTCAAACTTTCATCAACAATAAGAACCAAAGAACAGTAATTCAAGTGCTGAAAATAATGGCACTGAGAGCAAACTTCACATGCGTTTAGAATGGCCTGTAGTGTTAAGCGATCGTTATCAGCTTAAGTGAGACTCAAGCTGTAGTGACCTCTGTACCCCAGAACTTCCAAGGCTTCTCCCCTTGCTTTGCTCAAAACATTTAACTTGATAGTAACATGCACCATATAAGGAGCTGTCCTTAATCTCTCCTACCTGGCCCAGGCACAAAGGCAAAATCTTAAACTGGAGACCCTTTAGGACTTTAATTTTTCTCAAGTTCATTACTCCACCACATGTGTCTCCACAGAATATGTCGCCTGTCCCCTTAAGTATCTATAGGTTACTCTCCTACAGTGTTTTCATCATCAGAGTTCTGTTCAATTCTGTGTCCTTTGAGTGCTTAGTCAGTCTGTCCCATTTTAGCAAAGCTCTTCAATGAGGGAATGAATATATAAATACAAATCTTAATAAATATGTAGAAGAGTTCAGAGCAGGCCTGCCACACATTCAGCCCACATACAGTTATAATAGCAGCAACAGTATACCTCACTCGGTTCTTTCTGATTATCTTAGGTGACCAGAGAAAAAGCAGGAGGGTTAGATAACCCTGTGGGTGGAAGAGGTAGTCTTAAAATCTAGGAATGTGCCAGGAGTGGTGGCTCATGCATTTAATCCCAGCACTTGGGAAGCAGAAGCAGGCAGATCCCTGTGAGATAGAGGCCAGACTAGTCTACACAGCGAGTTCCAGCTGAGGCTATAGGGGACACTGTCTAAAAAAATATATGTAGGAGTAGAAACATTTATAGGGCAACTGGGAACCATTCGTGTGCTCTGTAGTATGACTGCTCAGAGAATAAGCTTCAATGGAATTTGGGGCCATAGCAGTGTGGGAGGGGAGTGAAACCTGGAACCAGGAAGCTGGGTATGGAGATGCTGCCTAGAACCTAGGTCTGGAGCATGGTTTGGCAGTGAGCAGAAGGAGCAGGCAGGGATTTGGTCTACCTTTTCACATATACCAGTCTCTATTTGGGCAAAATCCAGGCACTGAACTGTCAAAAATATGAACCAAGCCCATGTAAGAAAATAATCAAAGCTTATCTGAAGCAATTTGTACATGAAAGGGGCATGTGCTCCCAGACTGCTGTGTTGCATGTATATATTTGAAAGCCAGTGTGAAGAGGCCTTCAAAAACAGGGAATGATCACGCTGATCTTTTGAAAAATACAGTGAGTCTGGAGAAAAGACGACATTGCATTTTCCATAGGATAATCATGGTTCACCTGCATGCTGTACAGCATAGGGTAACCCATGTGTTGATCTGCCCATGAGTGCTATAACTAGTGCTAAAACAGTTAATTTCCAGGCAAACTGGGACTAGTGATCACTCTCCTACCAGTGCCTCCAAACCTGCTAATGCTCACACTTTAACCAGAAGCCCAAAATCTCTGGCCATGCCACCTCCTCATTAGACACATACAGTCAAATCCTTCACATGGTTCTGCCACTATTACAACACATTTCAGCAGTAGCGCTGCCTGAAAGGCCCTATGTGTCTGGCCATATCTAGTTTTCTAGCTTCACCTTGCACCACTCTCCAGACCCAGCTTCCTTTTAGAGATTCAAAGGCAGCCCACATCTGCTGCCACAGGAGACATATGCGGTTCCATATGTCTTCCATACAACATTGTTCTGAAGCATTTTTCACATATTTCTGTTTCACTCCTAAATCTTTTGATATCAAGGTTCTATCACTGCTGCTTTTTCAGAGATGTCTCACCTGGTTTTCTAGAGCAGTCAAATCCCCTCTTCTAAGCCATTTTGGAATTGTAACTACTATGGTTAGTGTACCCTCATAGCCTCTCCACATTTCCACACACTGAAGGTGGCCCATGGCCTTCCATCCTATGACTTTGCTCTCTCCGTGGGTACACTGTGCTCTGCACAAAGGCTGATACTAAGTGAGATTAGGCTGACAGGCAGGAGCATCCAGATCAGGTAAATTTGGAGACCTAAGAATTCTGAATCTGAACTCTAAATCCAATGAGAAGTTCCTGGAGGATTTTAAACTGGGAGAGACAAGATCTGGCTGCTGCTTTGTTAATCTGTAAAGGACCTCTGAAGTCTGGCTCATTCCAGTTGGTTCTCTGAAAGGGGATAAAATCTTAACTCTTCCTAAACATGAAGCATGGACCCAGCAGTATATGAACAGGCATGCAGTTTACTTGTGATATGAACATTTCACAGAGATGCTTAGGGTTGGCAGACAATGAAAAGCAGGTTCAGAAACACTACATAAACTGTTAGGCTGTAGGCACCATCTTAATGCCAGCCAGTCATTGCACTGACACTGGCCTGGGATGGCCCCAGGCCCTAAAACTGCCTTGTCACCTCATGTTTCCTTGGAGCTGTGCAGACTCTGACTAGTTCACCTTCTCGATGGGAAGATGGTCCAGTAAGATAAGACAGTCTATTTGCAAGTCAGTTTCTCTGAACACAGATGTTCCTGTTTGCAGACTCTAGAAGTACAAGTGAAGGAAGGAAGTTGCATAGGGTAATGCAGGTATTCTGTATCTCAGCAGGACCTCTCAGTCCATGTTACATGTTTCTCTTCCTCCCAAGATTCTGCTTCTCACCTGATGAGTTTCTGTGCTTTCAGCACAGTCTAAGCAAAAATGTCTCCTCCCCTAGAAACCCTGGGTAGGCAGGTATCCTTCTGCTTGAACATTCTGCATAATTTATTAAAATATCAATATGTGAATAGTTACTATTACCTGATCACTTGTGGGAAAGACTATGGTTAAGAATTTCATCTGAATTACTTCATTTAATTTCTCACTGTTAACCCTATTTTACAGATAGAAAACTAAGACTTAGAGAGTGAAGGGGTTTAGCTGATACCAGGTAGTAAGTGGAGAATGGAGATTCTGCACCAAGCAACCTTCTTTACACTCTATACACATGGTTATACACCTCATTTTAATGGAGCACAACCAGCAGGCATGTGCCGCCTTCCTCTGTTACTTTCAACACCCATGACTCAGTCCTGATGCTATGAAAACAGAATGACTTTTAT